AAGAACTGTGGGGTATGCCTGCAGGATGTTCTAAAGTCACTAATCTGTGTGACTTGCGCCATGTTTGTTTATACAGGGTTGCAATGCTATCTGTTTTTTGAATCCAGCCTTTGAGGTATCATGACCAGTGATGCAAATTCAACTTTTTCAAATTTCACGAGAGCAACCTTAAGGTACCCACATGTATAGCTCTTGAAACCTGTGTAATTAACGCCTACCCCCAGAACTGAAGGGTCTGACGTCCGCCCCGCTCGTGGACATCAGACCCAGCACAGATTTCTGGGCTTACATCATATATGGGAGGCCCATACAGCTGAGTACAGGGACCGCATCTGACCCAACGACTTGAGGGAAAAACAGTTTGGAAGATGTGTGTCTTAGTGGGCATGTAGGCCTGCTAATACTAAAGTTACTCATGTCATTTTCAGTGAAATGGGCCATGTACATGTACTGACTACTGTAGCCAGTGAGTGCAGGCCTGCCTCGTGTTGATCCTAGTCCTACCGGTTCATGTAGGATTTGTCTCAACATGGTCTTTTCAACTGAAGAACTAGGCCTATGATTTATGAATTTTACAGCATGGAATAATAAAAGCAAAATCCATTGTACTTACTCCATCAATGTCATCACGTAGGAACTAGGTGTGCCATCAGCGATTCTTCAGACTAATTTCTTAATGATGATCCACGAAGTCGCGAAAATAAACGGATTAAAGAGACCACCGTGCGCTCAGCATACATTTACTACACGTGTGCACGTGTGCCACTGCGTCCACGTGTTGTTTGCAGTGTGTCTAGTTCGTAGTATAGCCGGTCCGTCATATGCGTGTTCCGTAAATAGGTTTTACGTGAGTGAGTTTTCGTAGTGACGTCATGCACCGAGTGCCTGGCTTGCAGTCGGCCACAGACCTTCATTGGTCGCGGCCACAGACCTTCATTGGTCGAACTGAACATCACTGGTTCACGACCACTAGGAAATGCACACTTCATGCTCGCGTCGCTACCAACAAATTGAGCATTCCCGAACACAGCTCTTTTTCAACCGATGAGGGGGTGTTTCTGCTCGTGTCGGATTGCAGGCGAATTAGATCATTAATCTGCAAAGCGTGCTGTGTCAAACTGACCATAATTTTACAAGTCCAAACATTTCAGCGGAGGCAATAGGGAGAATCGTGCCTAGTTTCTAATGCATGAGGGATACCAACTTATAATGGAGGGAGATATCAGCTTATAATGGAGGGAGATGTTTTGGAAAGAGCTATTCAAGGTCGGTCTCCACATCAGAAGAGAATTATTGTCGTGGAAATCATGAAATGATTTGAGAAGAAAACGAATTTTTGCTTTACCAATTTCTGAAATTCAATTAACCCAATTGTAAGGACAACTTTCAAATCAACTGCTAATCACTTTGAAGTTGCGGATACCAAGTTCATTCCGTTTTGTAATTCGCTGAATGTGTCATTTTGCTGACTTCATAACAAAGTTTTGCCTCAAATTGTCCAGAAGCCTTAGCAGCAAAAGCTTCCCTGTATAATTGATTAATAAAAAAGGGCTAAAAAATCCTAGCTTCTTTTAAAGCTTCCCATTTGGGGGATCGACAGGGCGTAGCCACTTCTACGTGCTGAATGCCATGACAGCTGTTCCACAAGAGATGCTGATGCGAGATACTAGTTGCCCTAGTTTTAGGCAAACGCCTACAGTCTTGGGCCGCGAATTTCTTTTCCAAAAAATGATGAAATATTACCTCATCATGGGACCAACAGAAAAGTACTTCCATTCCATTAAAAGAAGATGTTGGGCGTCTTTCTCGCAGAGTTTAGCTTATGTGGCTGTCTTCTGACTGCTGCAGATATACTTGATATGGTATCCTAGATTTACTAGGTACCCTTTGTACTGAGTACCCTAGGTAGGTACCTATAGGTATACTATTTACTAATTAAGATTATGGTAGCAATGGTATACACGTATGCGGCGGGGAAAGTTATAGTTAGTAATATTAACACCATTTTGCGACGTTACTCGTTTATGTAAATACTGCAGGCCCGTTGCCTGACTAGAGACTGGGGGGGGGTGTCAAACCCAAAAGTGGAACCTTTGGCACCTTCAACACGTATTTTTATACAAAGGCCTGTCATAATGTGCTTTGGAACACAACATCGAATGGTATAAACATTGTTATTAAATATGTATTAAAAACTTAAACAAATACCAACGAGTGGAACTCAGAAGGGAACCCGACCCCCTCCATACGGCTTTATTCTATGTCGGATTAAATAACCATGTAAACAAGCAACCTTTCCCGAGGTTCCGTGCGCAGATCATATTTCTAACGGTCCTAGCATCGTTGCACTAAACCGTGCAAATGTGAAATACTGAGGTGCCACCTCACTGAAATAAGTTACCTGAACCAAACTTTGAAGATTTTACAGTTGCATCTTTTGGAAATTCTGGAACAATAATGGGGTTATGAAAACTGCAGTCCTGTTGTAAAAAGTGATTCAAGGCATTTTATTCGACAATCAGGAATAAAAGCACATCAGTTTTGTTTTGGAGGCTGGCATAGCGTACGTCATAAATAACATTCATTCTAGACTATCCAAATCTGTGTTTCAAACTGCCACATTATTTACAGACTCTAATTGTTCAAAGAACTTTTGATATTAAAACTTGCCTCAAACTTGAGCTTGTCGTTTTTCACACATTTCGGCAAAGAATGAAACCAAATTGTACGATCGCAGAAACTACTGTAACCTCTTTACGGCAACTATCGTGTAAACACTGACGTGGTTATTTTTCCAATTATAAAGAGAAATTTTATCACATATTACGCACAAATACACCATAGTGATTTCAGTTGAATTGAAAAGTCGAAGGAGGACCAAAGGATTTGGATGGACGTGCTGGTGAGGCATTAGCGATTCTGTAGTTCCGCCTTTATCGCATGATATTTATAGGTATGCGCTCATTCGTGTGTGTACATAGAGCTTCTTGTAGATTTACCTTTTTTTATTGCAAGTTTGCAATCCATTAATACCCGTTACTTTGTTGTTTTGCTTTACGATTAAAGAACTAAGCTTCGGCAACACAAAATGAGGGTTCTGGTAATATTACATTGTTGAAATCAAATTTCGCAAAAGTTCAAAATATACAAAAAAAACTTGAGTGACAGGAAAAAAAGAGGTTGTCGCGACGTGTGTCAACGTTGTTCTTACGTACGTCACACCCACCTGGCGGGCATTTCGCACGCGTTCTTGAAGAGGCATTGGTAAGATTGTAAATTGTGATAAGCTGTTTGTCGAAGAGGTATACGTGCACATGTGAGAACGGCAAGCGATCGGACGAACGTAATAATGGCTTCAACCGTTCATTTCTGAGGATGCAAGCTATTTAGATCGGATTTTTTCTATTTTTTTGTTAAATTTATGCACGACCCAGTACCGTCAGCTACGTTTAACCTGAAACACAGAGCTGGGGGAATTTTAATCTCAAAGAAAAGACCCACTGAAAGATATAATCTTATTTTGCCCTTCAAAATATAGGATGTCCACATGAAAGGTATACCGAGATAAAAGTACATAAAATGTCAGATGTGCATTGATAGGCATGGTGGCCACGTGGAGGGCACAGTTGTAACAGTGCCGATTTCAGTACCCTCAACGTAGGTCTAGTTTGTTCACTCAACTGTGTAAATTACATCACAAGCTATATACCATTACAGAGAGGACATTCTGCCCTTTGAGATATATTTGTCTTTTCCACAAATAAAGTAATTTTGCCATTAGAGTAATTTTCATCTCGGTACACTTTTTATATGGACACCCTGTATAGAAGAAATGTGGGTTTTCTTGTTGTCTTGGTGGCAAGTTGTCCCTTATCCTACGGTGTTTAGCTTTCCGGGGAGGTCACGTTGCTAACCTGCCGAATCGATGGCTTCCAAGTCACTGACATAATTATTTTTAACAATCAACGAACGCGATCTTTCGCTCTATTCAAAACTTGTTTTGCTGCCTTACTGCCGCACCGTGGATAAAGAAACTCCCAACTTCAATGTTCTCCTTCATTCTAATCATCCTAATTAAGTTGAATTACAACCGATGAATTTTCCGCCTTATCAGCTAGCGCTTCCGGTCTAGTTAATACTATATTCCCGTAAACATTTATTACCAATAAAGTTTTATCAAGGGATTTGATGCCACGCACCGCCACCAGATGCAGCGACAGGTTGAGGTGGTATTTACACAATCGCAACCATTAAAGGCCTCATTTTCAGGCAGAATGTACCGTTTTCCAATGCATTGCATAATGCATTGTTTTTCCTACACCTAAGAATAAGTTCAGGAATAAATGAGCAATAGCCTACTGTACGATGTTCAGTTTCTACAACTTTCAACTACTAAATTGAAATTATCCAATATGTCGATCAAAAATACTCAGAAATCAATGAAATCTTCAAAACTATTCCTTTGTATCACTGACGATTAGATATATCTACTTTAGTAATAACTGGACGCCTTAACGAGGCAGTGTTGCTTCCATTGCTAGCGCAGTGTACAAAATTATACGTGCACTGGTATCCATCCATACTTTGTGATAGTCTCTAAGCCGTAGTCTCTAAGCCGGTTCAGGTATTTGAAATAACTGTAATCTAAATATCCCTTGAAAATATTTTGCGTACGTACGTATTTGTGAAAAAGTATTTTACAAATGAGTAGTCTTTGGAACCTCTGACAATCTTGTTGTTTGGAGCCCTTTTTTTAAGCTCTTGACAAAGTCGTTGTTTATAGAAAGTGCTAATAATGGGATGCATTGTTTCTTACTGAATGGTTATGAGTCTGGTTCCCGGGCTCCAAACAGAACTAACAAAAAGTGAATCTGTTCATTGTTGTGGACATTTTTTATCTCATCACGGCACTTAATTAAAAGTTCTTTTAATTGGAATAATTAATTAACAGAATCGCTTAGTGGTTTCGTATATCGTAAAAGAATGCATTAATTAACACTGTTTCAGTCGTAGCCTCCGCCTCAGCCACGGCAAGTAATTCTCTACCTTCGTGTAGACCGTAGGTATCGGCTTGTCGGGGGATCCGTTGCAGAAGTAGTTGTGGCCCCAGGACACGATGCCCCAAACCACCCAGCGACCCGACCTCTCCCGGCACATAAGCGGGCCGCCGCTGTCCCCCTTGCAGGCGTCGGTGCGGTGGTCCCCGGTCATGTATCCCGCGCACACCATGTTGTCCGTGTAGAGGCTGCCGTAGGCGTTCCGGCAGGACTTGGGCGGTAAGATGGGCAGTCGGGCCTCGTGGAGAACGGCTGGGTGCTGGGAGTTGAAGTAGGTGAGCGGATCTGTGGATATATCAGGTGGTATATCGGGTACAATTACAAGTAGGCCTACTGCAGGGCTACCTGCCTGACGTGTTCCGATGTGTATATTTCAGACCGAGAAAGAGATGCTTACCGGTAAAGCCCCAGCCGACGACGAAGCACCTATCGCCCGCCTTGAACATGTCCGGCTGGCCGGGCCGCTGCGGAGGCGGAAGGCAGACGGGATGGACGGCCGGACCCATCTTGACCTTCCGCCTGTCTGTCTTCAGCCGAATCAGGGCAACGTCGTCCTTGTAGTCTCCCCTCGGGATGTAGGCCTCGTGGATGTACACGCAGTCGATGCGGAACCGCTGCTCCGTGCCTTCCTTGGTCAGGCGGTCACGGTCACCTAGAATAACGACTACGTCATTGGGGTCATGTCTGCGGGGAAGGGGATAAACACAGACAGTTTATCTAGTCGGCCCTGTTATGTTCCCCTGGATGTTAGATTCTGCAACCAAATTTTCTCAGATTTAAAAAAAAAGACTATTTTGTCTTGAAATGAAGTTTCAGAGCTGTCTTAATTGCACGTATTCTGTATACTGGAGGTTTATCGTTTGTAGCAGGAAGAAAATAAAATCGCACGATACTTCAACCCTGACATCAACAAGCCAGTTCAGCATTCAGAAAAGAAAGAAAGAAAAGCATGATCATTCGGGAACAAAGCACGCCCGCGAGTCCGCGCTGATAAGGTAGAACTCGCGCCTACCGGTACGTCCCAATGACCTTAGACGCTTTTTATTTTGGGCAGGTGCTGTTGGAATATCGAACTGGCCCATTCAAACGGTGCAACAGGAACCACAGTAGGATATTTTCCAACACACGCATGGCATAGATACCAGTGTTTATGAAATTTGATGCATCTGTGGTTACCCGTTACCAATTTCGGTTCATTGGTACGCGATACTATACCCGTAATCGATGGGGCATTAATGATCGGCCAGTGTCAAACGGTAATTTTGACTGCAAGAACGACTTTGTTAGCATCGACGTCTGGGTAGGGCCCGCGGCAAACAACCGAATAGACCCGCGCCAGATCCCCCCTGAATATGTCTACGCGAATTCAATTAACCGCAGTACGCGGTGAAGACGTGCCATTAGATTCCCGAGAAACAACTTGCGACAACTCACCATGTTTTTGCTTTGAAAAATAAATCAATTAACGATCCATTTGACATTCAGATTCCTGTTTTCTTTCTCGGAGCCAAACACAATCGGTATTGAACGAGATATCGCATTTCTAAACACGCTGCGTTTTTATTCGATTTAGAAACACTGAACTCGTACAACATAACCACAACCGATGTTTTCCAGTTGTATGCGCCGATCTTAAATATCTTGTGCTAGTACTGTAGCTTTTTTTTCTGTAAATAGTCTTTGGCGAGACTCCATTTCTTGAAACCTTTTGCATGCTCTTCCAGTTGAGAAAAAGCATATTCATGTTTCTTATGTGGATATCGCTCAATTTCAAAGGGCATGTTGACATTTGGCCCACTCCTTCCCAATCCCCCGAGAAGCAGCGATTTTCTCTCAATAGTTGTCGAAGGCCTATAGGTACTTTCCCGAACACTTTTACCCCAAATTCACAGCTGCAAACTTAAGCGTGTGAGAGGAGGTCGGAATCTTATCGTGTTTACGAGTCCCCTGATTGGTCAAGATCTGGAGGTCAAGCTACCGAAATCATTTGCATACAAATTTTACCTCAAATCTGCCCTGAATATACAGCACTACCCAATAATTACCATACTCTAACCTGTCGAAGCAGTGGGCAGCAGTCAACACGAACTCTCCACTGAGTAAGGTACCCCCGCAGTACGGCTGTGGGGCTCCCATCTCCGACAACTGAACAAGCCATGGCCATCTGCCCTCGCGTGCCTTTCGACCGAGTACCACCCGCTTTGTCATGCTGGGCTCCATGTCTCTACGCCCGCATGTTTCTGAGAGACAAAAGATGGCGTACAGATATTGGAATTAATGAAAAATTACATTAATAAACTTCAGCTATTAAATCCTAGTTTTTGATATATAGGTCCAGTGTCTGCATAGTTTTGCTTGCTACATGTACGTAGTGGGAAACTTTGGGACGCTTGGTGGAGACAAACATACCGGTCCTGTTTACCTGCTCTGAGCATGTGCGTGTTGTTCTGGGCATGCGTGCATAGTTCTAAGCACGCGCAATACCTTAAAAAGGACCGGCATTTCTGCTGCCACCAGCATTTCAAAGTCTCCCTTTGTATACATACACCTTAATCCGGAGCCAATGGTCAACCGCCAAGATTGACTTCTCAATAAATCGACGGAAAAAAACAACTGGCAAAGACAAACTTCATCACAAAATAAGAATTAACACTCTTTAGTTTATGGAGGTGTTTAGGCACAGAGGACATAAAAAATAATTATGTTTCCATCGTATCGCGTATAGAACGCGATCCATTTGATTCTACAAGCTATCCTCCATCCACTGTGAAATTTACCGTGCATAAAAAGGATTTACCACCCGTAAATCACCCTGAACATTCTGACATTCTAGAAAATGAAGACAGGAGGAAATTAGGTGCGTAGATACCACAGACCATGGGCTTGGAGTACCGATCCAAGCGATAATGCACCTGGTAAGGTGTCAGGGGACAGACAGCCGAAATACGAGATAGACCCACCGCCTGTCCTTCGAAACTGTAACCGTTTTTAATATCCGCTCCACGCGAAGCGTGCGTGCAAAAAGTCTATTCCCCCGACTCCTTCCCCTCATCTCATACAGTGGCTCTTTTGTCCCGGTTTTTTTTTTAGGTTCAGTGGGAGGCTTCTGTAAATACAGGCGCCGGCAGGTGTAAGCCTCCACGATATTGCTTAAGGGACTTGGGGCCTCCTTTTCGCCCCATCTTACTCCTCCTGGAAGCTCTCCAAATCAGGACGGGCAATTTCACATAGTGTGGTCATCATCGAGACTCCGTGAGCTCAAGGAGTCGATAGGGGAGTGCATTTTGTCCTTCTCTTCAAGGAATGATTTTTTTGGAGGGGGAGGTTGAAGAACGCAGACTTTGAAAATGGAAGAGAGGTTGTGAGAGAATGCTATTCACCCTGGTGAGGGGGAGGTTTGCCTCCGACGGGCAGAAGGAAGTGGTTGTAGCGGTCGACGCACCCACTCTGGCAAATATTTCCATTTTCAACAAAAACTGAGGGTTAAGTTAATTTTATTGCCACTTTTTAATCATAGAAATAATGTTTAGCTTTTCGTAAGCTGGTGGGTAGTGTAACATGAAACCATGATGTTACCATGAATGAATAGGTCGCGCATTTCCAGCACCCTATCTGTTGTGATTCTTTCATTACGTAGTCAGTCGATATTGTTAATACAAATGGAATACAAATATGGGCCTTTTTCCGCGGGCCGTGACTGAACAGACGGACGGTGATTACAAAGGCGCCAGAGGGCTCTGACGGATTGCTGGTCATTCGGGGACGTGCGAAATAGGGCCCGTCTCCTTCCTTCTCAATCCATCTGAATTCCCATTTGGTATACGAACCTCGTTGAAAACTGAACGCCACTTGGGCAAGCTTTGGCTTGCATGCGCTTTTGGGTACAAATCGATGCTGACCTAAACTGTGTCCAAATTACACGGCTTCGGCTTTGAGATTACACAAGAGTCTATGGTAGTGGCTACACTCACTTTCCATAGAGGTGTATGTTATTACAGCCGCAGCCAAGTATTTGGACACGGCCCTCCACAGGTACAAAAAGCAGGGCGCTATAACAATGAAATTTAGGGAGATAAACACAAATCACTTTGCTCAGTAAAACCGACATGATATACCGGTATCGCAGAGTTGCTCTTTTAAATCAGAAAAGGGCTACAGGCAAACAAAGTTATTCTTTTGTTCTTATTTATTAACTGAACATTATATTAGCTAAATGCAAGGTACATAATACATGCCCGCTGCGTTTAAAAAGGAGGTAAATTTTTTGTCACATTTGACAGGGTTGAATGCTATGAGTGGGCGTGCGAATCCTTCGTCTTTCCCAAGCATTCTTTGGATGCCCATTCAACATACGAACGTCTCATCCAAGGTAATTCCAGGACAGCTTGGATTCAAATAATATAGGCCCACGACCGACGAGATCTCGAAACAGGCTGAAGAGCCTTTCCTCGACAGGGTAGAGCAGTCTTGGGGGACCGCAACATCACGACGAGGGAGGAGGTTTGGAGACTTCTTGAAGAGCAGCTAAGGTTGCATCCCTCCTTATTTACCACTGCAATCTTGACGGCTGCTTAGATTTCTAGTCAATGGCGTAAAGAAGGTCACGTGATAGCGACCAAACGAAACACGCTCTCCACATGCGTAGTTGCGCACGCACGGTTAACATTATAATGTCGCAAATAAAGAGGTTTGAAAATCATACCACAATTTCCAGTAATTTTACAATCTGAGCGAATTCCTCCATTTAATCAATTCACACGGTGAATGCGAGTTGTGAAACATAATTAACGAACTAAGTGCTGTTTTCGGTTTTTCCCTTTTGCTGACGTCCGTAGGTTAAAAGTATGATCACGAACCGCAACGTGCATGACGCAATACAAATAGATGGAATTACTAAGATCGTTCACGAAAGTGATGAAATCGGAGACATAGACTGATTTCCCCCTTCGTTTTATCGATTACCTCCACTCACTAATAAGCTAGGTTGTTTGAGCGTCATCAATCACTGTACAACGTTAATAGAGTAATGTGCTGCCCAGAAATTTAAAGGTCGCGATGGAGACTTGTTCACTAGTTCTTCAGAATGTAATGTTTCAAATGTAAAAACGTTATTGGTATACATTGTGAAATGTATTTGATAATAAAGTACAAGCTAGTTTGCACTGAGGCAGCCTATTAATGTTCCAGAAAAACGAAAGAAAGATTAAAAATACAAAAAAACCCCAAATATACTGACCCACGGAAGGGGAATTTCGTCTCATTTCTAGTATCAAATAACCTTTTCAACTAAATTATCCTGTATTTGTAAATTTTGAAAAACCGCAGATTTGGTATGCATGACTCTACGTAGACTGAATCGCAGAGAATAGGCCTAGGCTATACTTAATCCTATATCAACTGATGTATTGATGTGTATCCACATAATAGCATATTATATTATATTATTCAAAGAAGAGTATACGAGGCTCAACTGGGAACACACTATGTGAATGAACAACGATCGTATGCTGTCTGTGACGTGTGTATGCCCTTGTGATTTTGCTCTTAGGATTCAAAAACAATATTAGGGCCAATTTGACCACCCGTAATGTTTCATGACGTCATCTCACATTAAACATGTTTTCAACTTAAGTTTGAAAACTGAAGCAGTCGCAAATGATCAAATGTGACAATCTGTCGTGTCTTGTTCAAATCAGATACTCTCAGGTGCTCTGTAAAGTTATTGAAAAAAACAAACGAGGATGCGTGTCCATACATGCGTTCGTCAGTGCCAGAAAAGCAATTTCCATATTTCAAGTCTCATTAGTTTGAGAGTCTGAAATTGAAGCGACCACAATCAATTATTGTTTTGTTTGGTTTAGTAAATCCAATACTTTGGGAAACTGCCCAGCGCCTCGACACCAGATAATTGTATTGTCTGCCCTAAACTGATGTTAATTGCTCGGAGAAATGGAACTGAAGTTTGTTTTAGCTGTATGAGGAGCGTTGCATAACTTCTGCGGGTCAGGAAGTGCAAGTAGCAATTCTTGAAATACTATTTGCTAACGTTGCTGGCGATTTTTCATTTCCTATACGGAGCCGAGTGATAAATGAACAGTCTTTTTCAAGCATCACCATGGAGAAACCGGGGGACTCCGATGTTCTGGCGAGGCGCATGTAGTTACCGCGGTAGATGGAGTATGCGCGGTACCAGTGTGGCGTACAGGAATGCTGTGCCTTCACGGATAGCTGAATTTCGCAGCGCCCTATCCCGGGCCAGAGGCGAGAAGATTGCTGTCACTTTATCAAAAGCCCAGCCATCAGAAACGCCCTGTGGACGTCGAGTTTCGCCAAAACGAACGACTTATTTCAATATGACAAGGCCTTAAAGGTACAGAAACAATAACACAAGATTGATTCCGTGAATTTGCACGGTATTCTTTCTTCATATACGGAAGACTAAACCTTAGTTATCAGCCAAAATTTGCCCATACACCGACAAAGCACAAAGATGCTAAAGTTTCATCAACTTCGACAAAGAATATCAGAAAAATAGGTGGAAGACTGTGGTCGGCCTCACGTGGTCCAATCGCAATAAACTCTGAATTTTTTAATAGAAATTCTTGCCCCAAGATGCATTGTTCTAGTCCTATTATTTAAATTGTGGTGTGCGTGCCCTTGGACAAGTCACTTTTCTGCTACTTTTCCAACCGATCTATTAATTGTCCTGTTATAATTCTCAAAGCCTAAATTACAAGCCCATACAAGTGAGTGGTCTTTACAGTAGTTTCGCTGCTCTAGAGAAAGTCCAATTTTAATGTAGCATACCCAGCGCTGTGCCTGTACAAGAGGAGGGTCAGTATCGAAGGCTATCCACGGACCAGGAATGACATGCAGTGGGTAAAAATGGTATTCAAAGAACCTTGTTTGAAACGCTATAAATAATATGACATTTACACTTGCTAAGTAACTTGGTACAGTGTTGGACTAAGCGGAATAAAGATGTGGGCATGTTGCGTACACTGTTCTGCTTTTCGTTGATGATGGATGATGACAAACTTAACCCTAACCTCTAAGGTGAATGTAAAACCATATCGAAATCGGAGGATTGGGGACTGTTAGGGTTATTAGTAGATTTCGTTCTATGTAAAAAAAAACAGCTGTGAGACCGTTTTCAGCGAGTTACATGCCCGAATTTTTTTTTTTTAGTTTGATGCTCTTCGCACCGTATATGAAGTGATTAACATATACAGGTTTCACGGTGAGTCGTGAATGTTGGCGATAATGCCTTTGTCGTGGATATTCATTTAATACCTGGAGATATTCCACAACGAAAATTAGGCCACCATCGTCAGATCTCATTTACGTCACAGGCAGCATCTCCAAGGTAATTTGTTTCGACAGCAGTATCCAAATCGTCTCAGGAAAATGTTTTAATTTCAGGCGAACGCGGCGGGAAAATTCGCAAGGGAAGCCCATCTTCGCCTTTCATGAGGCCAGCACTCGGCGGTCGATCGCGGAGTTTTTGCCGCGCACAATCGCAAACATTGTTCCCGGGAGTGTCCTGGACAAACCCGGGGTAAATTGGCCCGGTAATTGGAAGTGGCGGGCCCACAATCACATTACAGCGGCGGGTGATGTTTGCCCACGTAATGCGATCGGGCGCTCGAATTCGTCGTTTATCTCAATGAAAGACGGATGGCTGCGGACGCGGCTTGTCATGGATGGAACAGCACACTGCCAAGAAGACGCGGATAACATTTTTGCTGCGGCAGGAAGGACTGCCGCATACCATTTCCGAGGTTTAATGGCTCATTTCTTGCCAGCAGACATGATTCCTCCCTGCATGCACTGCACTGGCGGCGTGCCGCCCGCAAAATGTAACAATAGTATTGCTGTGTTTAACATTTTAAGGTATTTTCAGTTTGTAAATATTGAGGATTCTATCCACGTGTCACCGCATGGACATTCTCAATGGCTCAATTTGTAATGGTGTCAAAACAAGCATTGCTTGGGTTTTTGTCACTGTCACAGAACAGTGGCTACATACAGCAGTCATCACAACTCCGCCATCAGCGGAGCTGCAAAGAGCATTGCCACAGTCATCGGATTCGTCTATGTAGGCTAGTGATTTCTATAAAACACTTCAAAATAGGTTTTCTTTTGTCAAAAGGCAAAACACGTCTTTTGTCGCCATGTTGTCAGTTCCTTTTGTTTCCTTGTTCTGTTATTGGCTGAAACAAGCAGGTGTAAAAATTAATTACGCGGCTGGGGGCATATACCGGTATATCTTGTGACTTGAAAATAACCGACAATTCCAATGCGGCTAGTTATGGAAGTGATAGTCCAAGTGTAGATTTGGCAAGTTTTTTTTTATTGGGAAGATCAGTATTGTTTTGAATTTGATATAAAAACACCTTTGAATTCATCAATTTCTTCAATCGAAACTCCAAGAATCTAAAAAGGCTCACCAAAAAAACGCTCGCTGAGGGTTCTTTCTATAGTGTTCCTGAAATATACGTGCCTCAAGGGCCCTTTTTGGTGAAGCCCTCGTCCCTTCTTCGAATTAAGCGGTCGGCTGGTGCACACACATTCATGGTCATTTTGATGCGGAGAACGGGTTTCCTTTGTTGAATTTATCAAAGCAACATTGTATTTTCACGGCTGATTGGGCTGAAATCCAGTGAAGGAGATGGAACAATACTCTCTCTGCTGCGTAGGCCAACAGAGCGCTATTCTCCTGTGTTGAAATCGCTTTCCCTCCACGGCCCCTTCTGTTGGAACATCGTCGTCGGCACTGTGGGGCCAACCACGGTTTCATTTGTCAGCGATATGTCACCACTATGAATTATTCCATCGTGTGTGATAATCCTGTCAGATTTGTGTCACTGCTTTTTAGAAGGCATGGTAATATGCATTCCTGCATGAAAGCCACGTTTTGTATGTCATCTACCCGCATTACGCTAGGACGGTGACACAATTTCGTGTCCTTTTGGCGTCAGTATTCAAGATAACACTGTGGTAAAGGCCAACATAGCACCCAGCATGAGACAAACATATCAACTCATTATTATTTTAATATCTAATGTCTTTACATCGTGGTACTTAAATTTACAGTTCACAGTTTTTGTTTAGAGTTGTGTCCTACCTAATCGAAGTGTGCATAATGGTGACGGCTGATCTCTTTCAAATACTCTGACAGAAACGTATACGCCGCAAATTATTATGGTCAGCCAGCTGTCATGTTTAAAGCGCGTGATTGGGTGATCAGATTAACAATATAACGAATGGTAGCTTATAAAAATTAGAAGTGACTTGCGCTCTTCGACCCGAGAGCTTTGGGTATGATGCATGAAACTCTCTATATACCACACGTTATTGTTAGCCATACAACCTCAGAAAATTGCAGCTTATTATGACAAAATGTGTTTACATGTACTAATATAGGCATATGTGCTGATGACGTCACACTTTATTTATATGCTTTCCTATGGAGGCTTGGAATATATTGTCCCTAACCAACTCTTATACTAAAACACACACGTAACAAAGTTTGGCTTCATAGGTACAAAGACCCATTAAGTCACCAAAGTATATGGCATGGGTAAACAGGGTCAAAGTCGACACGGGAATTGGTTGCAAAATGGTTAATTGCCCACAGCAATGAGCAGAGAACCATTAGCAAAATTGCGGGGTAATTAGGCGTACGCTGTTTTTCAACCTTAAATGGTATGCTGAAGTTGACAACCACGACGTAGTGACTGATCATGACTGTGCCATTATTGGCATAAGTCGTGCCTATTTTCTAGATTGAAATAATGAAAACTGCAAGTCTGGAACCATTAAATCCACAGTTCATTTTTTTAAACGATGTGGGGGAGCACCATGCGCGCAGTGTGCGGTACTGGTCTATGCCGATTATTTGTAATTAGACATTAGTGGGCTTAATGTTAGAGGACTCGGCATTGTGCATTTCCTCCAAGGTAGGGGTCTCGTGGAGACAATCTTAACTGGTTTCCTTAGGATGGTTGAGAGAGCCTTCCATGCTAACGGTTAATGCCATACCAGTGAACGAATTTTGTAGTGAAATAGTTCTCAGCTTGATATATTGCCGTGTCTACCTCAGGATGCTATAGAATGTGTGCCTGTCCTACAAGTACGTTCATATCCATCTGCGATACAGGTAACAGCCGTCGTTTTCAAAACAGCCGTTTCTTTCCACTTGGGAAAAGGTAGTTCCGGTGATGAGGTTTCGGTAACAGAGAAGGAAGGATGGAGTTGAGCAAGTGCCTTGCGGATCGGAACTCCAGGGTGACATTCGGGAGCAGACACAGCTACCTCAGCCCCCGGGGCCAATCGCGACCTTAACACCGCCGGCTCCGAGTCCCGTCGTGCGCTGCTGATCATTAGACCTTCCCGACAAGCCCTCCTGGGTAACATAACGCAGATTTGAAATTGAACACCGAAATCCTCAAATCGATTTCTGCATATTTCTAGCTTTCGTTTGGTCGACTAATGACGTGTTCTGTCGCTCCCCGAAATAATTAAGATCTACTTTCCCTCAAATATTCTGCCTGATCTAATACAGCGTATCGCTACTACTCGAGTTGCCGTAAAGTTGTCCGTACATCAACACGCTAATGGCACTTTTAGAACTGATACATACTTCACAAAGACGTTGAGTGTTTGTCAGCGCTATACTCATAAAGGTGAAGTCATGTAGTGAGCCGTGCTGCATTTTTAAGGAATAAACACGGAACCAAATCGTCTCGCGGGACAGTTTTATTTTCTTAAGTCTTGTACTTGTTCTTATCCTCTTGTCAGCACCTCCACTGCAAAAGTTTTTGCCTTTACTTGTCCAAAGTATTTAGCAGTAGGCCCCCCTAGATGTAGCAATGTATAAATGGATTATAATTTGCCGCCAGAAGTCCACTTACCCGGTCAATGCGTCTATGAAAGCTTTATACTGGTATACTGATTCAACCTACTCCACTCACTTCTTTCAGTTTTTGACATAATAGTCACCTTTTATAGTCTGAGTTGTAATCGCGTATTAAAGCTTCCTTAAAGGCCGGTTCCTATTCAGCGCAAAGGCGATCACAAATTGGGAAATTGGGGTGCGAATTCGCAAAAGTTGAACACAATTGCTATCCGGGCGAATCAAGCTGCAAATATGTTCGTGACTTTAAATCTGCTTAACTATCGTGTTTGCCTAAATTACACACAACTGAATCCACACATTCAACAAAGAATGGAGTGTGATGAAACTCTCTACGGAGGACATGATCTCATTTAAAGTAGATCGGGCATTAGCCTTCAACTCAGTGTTTTGACGTTAAGTATTGGTTGCAACACACTAAATCATGGGACTAATCCCATCAGCCACAATAGCTGTGGCAAAAGTGTCATTTTACTTTATCCTGCTCGATATTTAACTTTGACCCGGGCTTCATAAACTCACCAGGAAGACTTGAACGCTGTTGAATATCGATAGTTCCGTCTCCAAGCCCATAATCTCCTACCGCGCGATGCTCGTCACCTTCTGCCTCGATCCCATTTAGAACGTATCCAATAGTTCTTTGCAGGAAATTGTTGTTTACCCTGCTCTGGAGGTAGCCCCACTTCCTGGCCTCGTACCCATCGATGTCCTCCGACTCGTCGGCCATCTTTTCGTCCCACAGTGCATGCTGCAGGATGTCGTATGTGGTGGGTTGACGCGGCGGTGCCGGCTTCCGTTTGATGAGGCCATAATACGGAATCGTGTTAGGCTGATAGAAAAAAGAAAAGAAAAAAACGTTATACCGACAAAAGAACCGTGTTTCAACACGGGTGATTCACAACAGTGCGCCTTCAAGAGTTTGCAAGGCGTTGACCAATCACAAGGTGCGAAACCTGTCGACCTTTTCCAAACGTGCCCTGGGTCGCGAGATTTCGCGCACTGTGATTGGTCAACGCGTTGCAAACTCTTGGAGGCGCACTATTGTGAAACGCCCGTATTTGGTTTATCTTGCAAATCATACCCAACTAGTGCTGATTCATATTGCCGATAACATACGTGCTCCTCGAGTTTAAGAGTTGAATACATTTATGTACATGTCCTCTTTCTCTGTGATGGATCACACTTACCAAAGTGACTGTGCTCGGACAAGATGAGATGGTGAAGATAGCACTTTAATACACCAGTAACAATGACTCACCAAACAGTCATGTCCTTAATATTTCCTGATTATTACTGCTGAACTTCAAACCAAAAAAAAATCTACATTCTGATTACTTGCCAACTTATTTTTGCAACACTGGCGTCAGTTTTTTCTTTACTAAACGTCAGTGTAAAATTACTGCTTGTTCTAAAAGCGGGGCTGGGATCTGTTTCTATGGGTCATTTCTCATCCCTGCTGATGCAACTACAAAAGACATCACCACGCTTTGATGCAGAATTCGGTCAGCCTGGACTATTTTTGTCCTAATTGTGCATGCTTTTGGGTCTCTCTTGCCGAGATAATCCCGACTGAAACGGAGGTAGGGGCCTACGTGGAAGATTTGCAAGTAATTTCAATTAATTATTAACCACAATCTCTATACTAACTTGGCTACACTGTCTTTCATGGCATTCCAACGCTTTGGGGCCAGCTCAAACTCGAATGCCAAGGAAAGGGGCCTCCTGGCGATAACAAGAACCTTTCGTATCAATTCGCTTGCAAGTTAAAAAAAATACTATAATAGGGTTAGCTTCACTTTTCACTCTGAAAGACAGAGTCGTTTGCACTAAATTTTAATGTACACGTTCGTAAATCCCACCCCAATGCCTGTGTCAGAAAATCACAACCTTATCCAAAATCATTTGCCAAGTGCAGCATTGCATCCTATAGTGTCTTAGTGACGTAAGTTCTGATTGCCACAGATAAACTCTTAGTTCTTTTGGAAAAAGATGTGAACAATGAACTGCTGCTATGTGATTTTTGTGTGTCGTCGTTCATATTCACATCCAAATCCTGCCAAAAGCCCAATTCTCAACGGTTGTCAATGGAAGATCGCATCGTTTCTGTTTCAGTTGTAATTCTCAGACACAAAATTTCCTTATACTGCCAAAAAAAATTTCAGTCCATATCAAACGCACCCTCCTAGCCACGATAACCACCGATCCAGGTTTTCCAATTGTACTTGAATTTAATTTCTCATTATGGCTTGTTCCGTCCGGTCTCTTTACAATGCAGCTACCTTCAACAATTCATCACCGTCACCATGTATGGGAGGGGGGGGCGTGTAACTGAATCCAGTTGTTTCTTGCCAGCTCGTAATCCCCAATTACATCCGGGGTCCGATAATCCTGTTTTCCAGGTGGTTGAGTTACGTGTATTAAACTTTTCTTCAGAGATATTTTAATTTGAAATAAGCTCTCACAAGCCTTTGTAAATTTCCTGTACATGCAGCATCTTTTAGCGCGTAGCCTACCGGTACCCTGTACACCTTCAAAATAAAGGCCACATTACTGCGTTTGGAAATAAATGCAATTCGAGTCAAGTCGTGCACTAACCAGTCCTCTGTGTTTGCTTTCTATGCAATGCCTTCATAGTGCACCGGTTTATAGGCTACGAGGAAACTGGACAAATGTTTGATTTTCTTTACAAGGGTTTAAAGCTTGACCGATCACAGAGTCCTTGTTTGGCCTTCGTCGCTTGGAAAATGTTGCATGGGGCGCTTATAAGTGCCTCATCCTGGCCTGAACCAGCGCCAACAAATGATCTTCATCAGAGCTGGTCAAAGCGATAAAATTTCTCCAAGAAGCTTAGAATTCATCTGTTAATTACTAATTGGTAACCAAGTTTGCTTTTAAGAATTAGGTGCGGCTATTGTGAGATCAAACAAGGGCAACAAGTTGTCTGCTTTGCGGGTGTTTTATATGCAGCCGTAAGCCTCCGGAAGGAAAGTGTGTGCACACATACCTCGCGTTACTGACTGGGGCGCATTCCTCGATACAATAAGCACATGCAAGAGTACTTGATTTACATGACAATGCATTGTACCATAATCATCGCGTGGCATTTTGACAAAATGGGGCTTCGCCAGACCCTTGGTGGCAGCAGACAGGTGTTAACTTGAGATATTTGGCCGCGGCTTCCAGAGCTACGGCTACATCTGTTCTAAGCCTTTCCCACGTATTTCCAACGGCCAAAGACCTTACTCTAGACAGCAGATTCGGATGCAGCCTCGGGCTAGGTTCATGTAAACACCGGATTATTTAGCCTGTCGAGTGACTGAACATTCTCGTCTTCGACTGTGACAACCACCAGACGCCGGCTTCAAGAGTTTGGGAGTGCAATATTAAATCGCAAGGAAGAATTTTGAAGTGGAGCATTGCTGTTTACAGGAGTCCTGGTGACTGCAGAGTATCAGAGATAAAACGACATCGTGGGAAGCAAAAGTTCGGTGAAATGGCTTGTTTTTAAACAAAATAATGCAACGCTGGTCGCGCATAAAAGCCAGTGGCTCAGTTGCGCGAGAATTATTAGCAGCTTGCTCTCGTGACACAAAAGAAACACTAAAGATGAAATGTGTCCTGAGCGTGGTTTCCCACTTAATTGTCCCAGCTTGGGGGACTAATATTCCGACATTGATACGAGTGTAACACCCACAGTTGCTAATTTACAGTGGCCTAATATCGCTTAGCATGATTATATGCCTTGGTTCGTCTCCTTTGCTCCTAGTTGTCAAAAGTCTGTCCAAACGTTGGGAAACAAACGTTGTTCAATCACTATTGGCCTATTGTTCCATTTCCATGCATCCTGACGTACATTTGTTCTCTTGTGTAGCCTTGTAAACCCCTTTTTGTTATTGCAGTAACTGACCAAAACAATCTTTAGTAACTTAATAAACAAAACCCCTTCGACTCACAGCGTCCAAAATGAAATTCTCAGGAATACGGGCTGCCACAACTATTAGGCAATTCTGCACGCGCTGAAGCGAGCTGCAGAGAGGTTTCCTCTGAAAGGGTACGGGAAAGGAACGCAGTAACAGATACGTATACGGAACGAATCAAAAAGCGCGCAAAAGGACAGGTAACTGTATTTCTGATGGTCAGAGCCCGTAAAATGCGTTATGAAAAACATTGTAATCTTGAATTCACCCATGGAAATCGCCCTATTTCGATTGTATCTTTCCGCATGAAAAGTGAACTTCCAAGCTATTCCCTTCTTCCTTTGAAAGCCCTCATCGGCAAGCATGTTTTTTCAGTGGTGCACCTGTGATTTTTTTCGACCCTTGAAAAACAAGTTGATCAACGACACCTTTTCAAAATGGCTGCAGCTGCGTCCTGCCAGCTATTACTTTCAAAATTGCCACCTGTACACCGGTGAGTCCAGAAGGAAGTAGTCAGTTTTAAAGACAGCAAACACCGTGTGAAGTGAATACCTGTGGGTATAAAAGCGAAGAGTGGCGCCTGACCGCCACATTGAAGGTGGCATAGCAGGTATATGCCACATACAAGATTCGATGAAGCCCACAAAAGAAAAAGGGACATAATAATGTAGGCGACTTAAAACATTACCAATCTCTGTCATATCAATAATAATTAGAATATGGCATTCGTTCTTGAATTAAGTCTAATTACTTATACCAACATGAATCCATTGCTGTGTCCATGAATTATGTATCCATATTCCGGTTGACAAATCACTGTGTTTGTGAATTTCACTGTGCAATTAAGCTTTCAAGGCTAACACGACAAGCACAGCATGCCCTTCGTTAGGTATCCACGCTTCGCTGTATTGCTGTTTTAATTTTGAAAGCTATAAATGAAAGAATCAATAATAAATAATGCATATAGCTAGGTGAATCACGATTCAGCATTCATTACGTCAATAAAACACAAGGCAAAATGGCTCCTGCCGTGAGCAAGGCCGAGGCTTTTCGGCTCGCAGAGAAAGCTCTCCCGCACTTTGGGGAATTCGACCGGTCTCTCAGGGTCAGAACTTACGGCGAGCGATGTAACTCGACTCTGTCCAGTATAACATGTGCACTCGATCTCCGTTGCCGCATTTAAGAAGAGAACAAGAACGACAGAAAAAAAAATCAGTGCATAATTTCCTAAAGTGAAGTAGGAATTTCGATGAAAAGGATTTCATTTTTAACAGGCACGAGAGGTTAATGTTTAGCATATAAGCCTGGCTGCAAGCGCCTTTGTCATCAAACAGTTCAATAGGAATCCATATTTTTAACGAGGCAAAATATTTGACTTCAGATGAATTGAACCATAACTTGCAAGGATTTTTGTCTGAACTGAGTTCTAAAATTGAGCAATGCTTAAGATAAAATGAATTAATGTGCTGACACCTTTAGTTTTTTCAGAAAAGTGATGCATCCAGAAATGGAAATCTGTGCTCCCATTTAGCCCAAATATTAGCAGGTCAATCTCTGCAACTACATCGTATAATATGAACTAGGCATACACTGAGGATAAACCCGCTGTTTTTAACCCCTGACAAGTTCAGCGATGGTGATTTGTCTGTTAGTATACACTGTCACCTTGACTGATGCTGGGTGGTTCACTGATCTTACTGCTTTGGTAGAATAGTTTGTATAGGGCCTACTTGCTTCCCTACATTGTATCTGATTCCTTTGAGCGGGAAAAAATAACAGAGGTATCTCCAGTAGTTTTGATCAGAGAGTTGCAGGACTAATACGTTATTGATTTCCACCCTATAACCCCAACATGACATTCATCTTCTTTGCATCATCGCAATCCTATGGCACATCATACAACCCCTCCTTC